AAACAAAATACCATCACTAAACAGCAACTTAAACCGATATATCCTGACACATAAGGAATCTGAATCTCTTTACTCAACCTATACAATCAAATATCCAGGTAAAATGTCACCGTAAAATTAATATTTTTTCCTTCCGGTCGACATGTTAGTAAGCAAGGTGACAGAGATAAGGCAGGACACTGTTACCTCCCACTTGTCACGGGAGTTTAGCCTCAAGTGCAGCCGAGCATGAGTGCTATATTCCCTTGCTACCTTCACCTGCTCTATCACGCCCCTCCCCTCCGATGGTGGTAGGTGGCGGATGATAGTGGTATATGGTGGTGGCTGGTGATGGTAGTGGTGGTGGAAGATATTAAATAGACAAAGTGGTAAAGAATTGATGATGGTAGATGGTGGTAGGTGATAGTGGTAGTCGGGTAAATGATCGTAGTACAGATACACAGTGGTAAATAATAGATGGTGGTAGATTGTGGTAGTTGGTGGTAGATGGAGGTAGACGGTGGTAGATGTAGAGGCCTCCTGCCGCCCTCCATCACAAACGTAGTGAGAAATTGGACAGAAAACATGGCGGCTTAAGTTACAACTCGGAGGGCTAATCTTTTACTTCTTCAGGTGAGGGTGGGGGCGAGGTGGTGGGTGGGGGCGAGGTGGTGGGTGGGGGCGAGGTGGTGGGTGGGGGCGAGGTGGTGGGTGTGGGGGCGAGGTGGTGGGTGGGGGCGAGGTGGTGGGGGGGCGAGGTGGTGGGTGGGGGCGAGGTGGGGGTGGGGGGCGAGGTGGTGGGTGGGGGCGAGGTGGAGGGTGACGATGGAGGGTGGATGTGGAGGATGGAAAGTTGGAGAGAAGGGTGAGGATGGAGGGTGAACGTGGAGAGTGAGGGTGGAGGGCGAGGTTGGAGGGTGAGAAAACGTACGTATGAGAGAGAGATGACATTCGCTGTGCCAGAACACAACCCGGGTTTAAAACTTTAATGGACCCTGGGAACCACAACACAACCCGGGTATAAGAGAACCCAGAGAGTCACTATGACACAGCAAGACCCGGGTTTAGTGAGAAGAGTTGGTGGAGGCGCTAGATCCCCTTCACGTTGCCGACAGCGAAGTGACAGCCACCCGCGCCAGGTCTTCTCCGGGCCCTAGTTTTTTGTATTCCTTCGCCGTGGATCAAAATATCAGGTTTCGCGCGCTTTTCCTTGCTTTTCGCGCGCTTTCTCTAGTTTTTCGCGCAATTTTCCTTGATATTCACTAGCTTTACCTACCTGTTCGCTAACCCAACCTAACCTCCCCCGGCAGTGCTGAGATGTCTAATCTTCAGGTGAAATAAATAAATAGCGAGAAATGTTAAGACTCCATCTGTTTGTCGTAACTTAAGTGAGTTTGTGTTGAGTTTCCGTCTGTGTGTGTGTGTGGTGTGTGTGTTTGTTTTCTCTGTTTGTTTGGCTATTTTTTGTGAGTCTTATTGCTGAGGGATTATGAAACACGTGTAGGTGCTGTGTTGTGGTGGTGGTGGTATGTGGTGGTGGTGGTGGTAGTGGTATGTGGTGGTGGTAATGGTGGTAGTGGTGGTGTAATAGTGGTGGTAGTAGTAGTGATTTACTAAAGTTTGTATTTACATATAATTCTGCAAGTCTCTCTCTCTCTCTCTAATCATTCTTGTTATGTTGAACTTATCCTATGTTATTTACCTATGTTATTCTCTACCATAAACATCCATTAGCACACTCAACCAATCACCCAACTCATCCAATCTTTATCATGTATCATCCATCCTCTTCCTGTTCTTATTCATTTTTCTCTCCCCTCACCTCTCTTATCAGTTATCCATTTCTCACTGACCAATTTTTCTCTCATCAGCAAATACTACTTGTCACTTCAACCCCCCCCCACCTCTAACCTTTCTCACCTTCCTCACACTTCTTTCCCTCCTCTTCTCTCCACTTCTCCTCCCTCCCCCCTTAAATCCCCACCCTTCCTCGTCCTTCTCACCCCCCTTTACCTCTCCTCTACCCCTCACGTGGCACTCGCTCTCTGACTACCAAAAATATGTCAGTAATTTAGAGCCGTGACGAGAGAATACAGGAGGTCGGCCACACAGACCTTCCCTCCACTCCTCCTTTACTACTCCCTCCCTTTACTACACTCCCTCCTCTTACTACACCCACCCCTCCCACACCATTCCCTCCACACCATTCCCTGTCCCCCTACCTCCTGCTTCGTATAGTAGTAGTCGTAGTAGTATAAAAAAAGTAGTAGTAGTAGTCAGTAGTCGTAGAATTCTGCAATTTCCAGAACGACCAACCTCATTAAATCATTTTCGGAATTCTGTAACCACCCCCTTTCCTTGTTTTTGTATCCATAAAAAAAAACATTTACATGAGGGGAAACCTGTCTGTATTTTGGCCAAACCCGAGAACGAAAAAAAAATAGTACAAAAAAAAAAATAAAAAATAAAATGAAATTGAGAAAAAAAAATTATTGTGGTCTTGTTGATACGATTTTTACATCACAAACATAAAATGCAAACAAAAATAATGGTGAAGGATGTATGCCTTAGTGTGTGTGTGTGTGTGTGGGGGGGGGGTAAGTATGTGTCGTAGAGTATAGAGAGAACCAGCTGGTGAAAGACAGACAAACAATCACACAATACAGTAAACCCTCAAAAAAAAAAAAGTGACTAGGGTCCTCTTCTCTTTCTTTGCCTGCCCCGCCTTGGTCACCGTCAGTATACACACCACACTGTCTTCACTCGCTTTGGAATTTGTCGTGGGTCGTCAGATAGGGTCGCCTGAGAGCTGCCGTACCACAAGACGCTACACGCTCACTGTTTGCTCAAGGATTATGGTACTTAATACGTGTTGTCGGCTGGGTGCTGGGGTGCTTTGAAGAGCCAGTCAAGATGGTGGTCCCTGATTTGGTTCTTGTTCTCATGTCTTTCTTTCATCTTGATCCGTCGCTTGTGTAGAGTCGTTGTGCTGTTGTGTGTGTGGGGGTCGTGGTGCTGGTGGTGTGGGGGGTCGTGGTGCTTATGAGGATCGAGTGTGATGGTGCTTGTGTGGGGTCGTTGTGCTGTTTGTGTGGGGGTCGTGGTGCTTGTGTGGGGGGTCGTGGTGCTTGTGTGTGTGGGGGTCGTGGTGCTTGTGTGAGGTCGTGGTGCTTGTGTAGGGTCGTGTGCTTGAGGGATCGTGGTGCTTGTGAGGGTCGTGGTGCTTGTGTGGGGGTCGTGTGCTTGTGTGGGGGTCGTGATGCTGTTAGTGTGTGAGGGTCGTGGTGTGTGGGGGGTCTCGTGGTGCTGTTGGTGTGTGGGGGGTCGTGGTGCTGTTGGTGTGTGGGGGTGGTGCTTGTGTGAGGGTCGTGGTGCTTGTGAGGGTCTGTTGCTACTGGCGGAGGACATTTTTGGGGGTGGGTGGGTGGGTGGGGCAGGTTGGGCGATTTTTTATATGTAGGTCATGTTAAAACCTCTTCTTCTTCTTCTTCTTCTTCTTCTTCTTACATGTTGAAGAGCTCAGTCATTTTTTTTTTCTTCTCTTCACTGGGCGGCGAGAGAGTGAATGCCGTGTACCAGATGAATGAATGGTCTGGGTGGGGTGGGGTGGGAGACACTCGTTCCTTCACCCCGTCTTTGATAACTCGAGAGACAAGATTCTTCCTTGATTGTTTTCCGACGTCTCGATCACAATATAAACACAGAAGTAAACAGAGAGAAAAAGTATTTGTGTGGTAAGAAGCGGTGGGCAAACATAGGTTCTGAGGACTCTGGGCGGTACATGTGGCTCGAGGAGTTTTTATAAAGAATTGAATCCGTAACTAACTGTCCTCAAGCCGTCAGCGTGAGCGTCTTTCACTTGTTTTTCTGCCGCAATATATTGGTCTAATTGAGTTTACTTCGTCTATATTTTTCAGCTGTGTTGTATAACTAGGGTCTGCCTACATACGAGAGCTGGTAACCTCCATCATTTGCATATTGTAAAGGGGACAAAGTTTGTGCCGTAATAAGCAAGAAATATGTAAGGTATTGCCAACAAGTGTAACACAGAGGGACCCGAGTCTTCTTGTCCGAACACAGAATAATCATATTGCCTCCGCCACGCCCTTAGGGATGCGCCCTTATTTACAGCCACTGAGTCGGAAGGTTCTCGCTTTGGTGGTCCGGGGCGATCCACCGAGAACTGACCCGTGAGACGGGGCTGCGCAGAGGTGAAACTAGTGCACCGGGGCAGCGACGGGTAGAGGCTCGCTGAAGTATTGTTGTTTTTGAGAGGACGCCTCGTGGAATGAAAACAACTCATTTATTTTGACGTGGAAGAGAGCATGTGAGTGGCTACTTGTGCTGAAGGAGGGGAAGGTCTCTCCTACCTAAAGGAATATTCACTCGAGCGATTCTCTGATTGTTGAACTAACGTGTGACTTTGTGTTGAGGTTCTGGCGGGTGTGTGGCGGCTGGGCTGGTCCAGTGGCGGCTGGGCTGGTCTGTGGCGGGTGTGTGGCAGCTGGTCTGTGGCAGGTGTGTGGCAGCTGGGCTGGTCCGGTGGCAGCTGGGGCTGGTCTGTGGCAGGTGTGTGGCAGTGTTGCTACAGTCTGTGGCGGCTGGGCTGGTCTGTGTGTGATCTTTGGCTCTTTCGCTGATCCCTGGCTATTCCTCGGCTGTTCTGGCTGGTGAAGGGCTGGTGGTGGCCATTATCGTGTCTGCACTCATCACCACTAAACGCATCTGCCTCAACCATTGTTCTGCTCCACACAACACAACACTTTACCTCCACACTTTGTTTTGGACACACTCGAGTCATCCTTAAGAGCGTTGTTCTGTTTCCTCTGTATTATAATATTGTAGTTTAGTGATGTGTCCACAATAATCACTTATAACTGTGTGAAACAGAATATTGATTTATGTTAACAGTTGTACAGATTTATTCTTATGGTGATGTTTATTTTTAAGGGGAAATAAATTAATGCTGTTATGTATTTTGTTAGGTATTAATTGATAATAATTGTGACGTCATCTTCCAGGTGTGGTTTCAAAACGCTCGAGCGAAATGGCGACGACAAATGGTTTCCAAAGACCCGAAGGCGTTGTCTGTAGGCGGAGGCGAGGGGGAGGGGCAACAGGGCGAGGGGTCAGTGGGGGACTACCCTGATACGCCCACAGTCCCGCCCTCAGCCATGAGTCCTGAGGAAGGCAACAGCTCCCAGATCTCCTACCAGCAGATGTTCTGACACCTGTCTTTCTCGGAGGGTGAAGCAACACACCTGCAACACCCGACCCCCTCACATATGCTCCTGCCGCCCTCACTCCTCTCCCTCCAGCAATCTCTCTCCCCACGCCCACACGCCCTGGGGGACCACGCCTCGTCATCTACGCCTCCAGGGCACCTCTCACACGCCATGATGGCCTCCAGTTCTTTCTCCTTCGGCGAGGGACACCAGCACTCAGGCATGAAGGAACACTCGTCGTCCTCCTTCTCCGTGATGAGTGACGAAGGTGAGGACGACCAACACATGTTCTTCGACGCCCACTCCTCACCCCCCTCCCCCGACGGCTCCTACAAGGTAAAGCAGGAGGAGGAAGACGAGTTTGAGGGAGAGGGAGGAGAGGGGGAGGGAGCGGGCTGTAAGAGTGCAAGAAGCCACACGTACCAGGAACTGTTCTAGCTGTACCACGCTCACACATGGTCACTCAAGGTGTCAGCACTGAGCGTATTACTGTGGAAGATAAACAATGCTTGTGTATTCTGAACACTGATTATTGTGATTAATGGAGTTCAAATGATCTTAATGATTTAACTGTGAAACCATAAATAACATGGAGTGATTATGACGTTAGGTGGGCAGGTGTGCGTAATTAACCTTCATGTTCCCAACACTGACTTGCGTCATGCATTATATATATATAAATTTCTTTATATTGCCAGTCTATTTATTGCTATGATAATGACACATGAGTGTAGCACTTTATTGTCACGCCCGCCCGACCTGGCGGGGATTCCAGCGTTTCCATACCTTAGTATTTAATACGACCAGCGTCAACACGCTCCGTCACGCTAAACACTTGTGTCTCTCCTAAGTTCTTCAAAGAAGATCTTCTCAAGCCAAAACTATGACGAAATTAGTGAATCTTTCTACAGTGAGGATGTGAGTTTAGCAGCTGTGAGTGATACCTGCTGGAGAGGTCTGTTGGGGAGCCCATCCTTTCCAACATCATCTTTTAAGGCGGGTCGCCCTAACTTACAGCCGACTGCTAGGTGTGTTCACCAAGCAGGCTGCCTCTGCTCTGTTAGGTGCACTGTCCTAGTTTTTAAAGGACCACTGCTGCTGTGTTCGCTGTTCAGAGAACCAGTGGCTGTGGAGGACAGAGTTCTTTACAGCAGAGTGAGAGAGAGACTTCGTCATGGACGGGGCCTCGGAATGTCTAATGGAGGCGGATGATGACAGCGTTCTGCCAGGTGTTGCCAAGACAGACAGACACACCGACCCGCAGTGACTCGTAGCGCTAAACTGTCTCTGTGTGTGTGTGTGTGTGTCGCCCAGTTGATTGCTGGCTGGTGTTATTCATCACTTGAGTGGTGAGACAGTCACTCAATCCAGTAGTGAGTAACACATTCGTCACTCACCTGGGCGAGGTACACTGCTCAATCCTCATTCATGTTGGATGTGTATCTGATGATTGAATGTGTAGGTGTACAGTATATTATATATATATATGAACATATATATTTGTGACCATATAAGTCGCCTTTTTGTGGCACTGACAACTGGTTTATATCATCACAAATTACTATTATTATTATTATTATTATTACTACAGTGTCTCAAAAAATGTATCCACACTACCTTACTTATCTCACGTGATCGCTCCCCCCAAAATACGTGACTAGAATGCTTTTGTCCGTTGAGGTAAATTACTACAATAAGCTAATTACAGGTGAACAATAGCGACGCTTAAAGCTGTAATCTTTAAGCCTGTGTGTATACAAATTTTTGAGACACCCTGTAGTATTAATAATAATAATAATAATAATAATAATAATAATAATAATAATAATAATTAACGTAGTATTATATTCAACGCCCAGCATGATCAATACCTCTACAGTGCTTTTGTTCCTTGAAGTCAATTAATTCAATCAAATTAATTAACACCTGAATAATAACGGTAATTAAGGTGATAAAAATTTTATCCAAATAATGTGTTTAATTAGATATTGAAATTAAGTGTTTTAGCTGATGTGGGTTATGTTAAAAGAGTGATGTGGTGTGAACCGGTTTTAAGCGTCACAAAAACACGACCTTGATTTTCTCGGCTTGTATGTTGATCTTGTGTACTGTTAGTGACCTTGGTTATCCGGACGCAAGAGCTCTGGTGTCCAAACTCAAGAGCTCGGTTATCTGGACTCGTGACCTCGGTTATCCGGACTCAAGAAATCTGGTGTCTGGACTCAAGAGCTCAGTTACCCGGACTCATCATCATCATCCATGGCAGAGTACTTCATCTATGTAAACATTTGGTTGGTGGCCCCCTGATTCCCATGATCTTTAATACAAATTGATTTTTTCAATATATATGAACTAAGTTTTCTCTAAGTATCTAATAAAAAAATAAATATTCCTATTTTTCTAATCTTACAACTTTAACCATAATTTTATATTGTTCTATTTATTGATTTTTGGTTTATGATCAAATTTTTTTATGATGATTTTTGGGTTAATTATTTCGAGTGGAGATATATATATATATATATATATATATATATATATATATATATATATATATATATATATATATATATATATATATATATATATATATATATATATATATATATATATATATATATATATATAATATAATGTTGATTGAATTATATAACATTCTTTCACTTTTTTGTTTTGTTTATTAATTACCCCATCTACCTGTAGTATGGTACAGGTAACACACACTTAACACCTGTAATATGACGACAACACACACACACACACACACACACACACACACACACACACACACACACACACACACTTAACATACCAATGGCCACCTGTAATTAAGCGTCTCTGGGCTACCAACCAAACGTATAATAATAAAAATGTAATGCCGAAATTTGGTGTAGAAAAAAAATAAATAAATGAAAGCACAAGTTATTGTCTGCATTATTTTTGTTTCTGGAATACTGTACAGGGTGGCGCATAAGTGTTGTTTTTACCTGGAGCCAATAATTAATACAGGGTGGTGGGGGCGCATAAATTGTTCTCTGCGACTTGTGCACCACCCTGTATAAATTGTTCTGAGGGAGGGAAAATAACTTCTGCAACACCCTGTACATTTAAAAAAAGAGTAGGGATCACCTGAAGATTAGACACCCCAGTTTATAGCACCTGGGGATTAAAACACCCTAAAGCTATCCCTGGGGAAGGTTTGGTTAGGTTAGGTTAAGTTGGGTTAGATTAGGGATGGATTAGGTTAAATTAGGCTGGGTTATGTTAGATTACACTAAGTTAGATTAGAACAGGTTAGTTTAGCTTGATTTAAATTAGATTAGGTCAGGTTAGTATATGTTACCGGTAGGTTAGATTAGGTCATGGTAGGTCAGGTTAGGATACGTCACTATTAGGTCAGATTAGGTTACCTATAGTTAGGTTAGGTTACTGTTAAGTTAGGTTAATGTTAAGTTAGGTTACGTTAGATTAGGATGTGTCTGTAAGGTTAGGATAGATCAGGTCAGGTTAAGTTAGCTTTGGTTAGGTTAGCTTTGGTTGGGATAGGTTAGCTTTGGTTAGGTTATGTTAGCTTTGGTTAGGTTATGTTAGCTTTGGTAAGATTAGGTTAGTTTTGGTTTGTTTAGGTTAGCTTTGGTTAGTTTACGTTAGCTTTGGTTAGGTTAGCTTAGCTCAAGTTAGGATAGATTACATTTGATTAACTTAGCTCACGTTAGGTCAGGTCAGGTCAGGTCAAGGTAACATCATCAAGGTGTTGTAATCCTCAGGTGCAACAAACTATAAGGTGGCCTAAACTCGCGGTGTACCAGAGCAAGTTTAGACCAGCAGCCAGCAGGAGTATTGTAACTGTCTAGTAATAAGAACCGGTCTGTAATAATATACCTTTCTTATGATTCACTCTAAGTGTTCGCTCCTTCATCTGTACAAATGATTCTTTAATCTTTCAAAGTCAATAAATCGTCTAATTTTAACCCGTGTTTTTTAATCTTTCCTTCTTGTTGATTTATTGTCGATTTTAACCTTACCTGGTGAGTTAGTCTAATTTAACCTTCCATGTTCATTTTATGTCTAATTTAATCTAACCTGTTGATTTAATGCCAAATTTAACCTTACATGTACAGGTATATCAATGTTTAATTAACTTTGCCAGGACTTAAAACTTAACTTAACTTAACCTAAACTAACATAACCTAACCTAAGAATCAATCAATAAAAAAATAATATAAATAACACCAATAATATAACCAATAACAACAATAATAACAAGAACAATAACAAACAAAAAATAACCAAATATATTCACACCACTTCCGAGTTTTGTCTAAAAAAAAGATTAATTCAAATAAATTAACATATTAAAATAAATTCAGATAATTTTTTTCTACTTGCGATTAATGATTGATTTTTTATGGTGTGTGTGTGTGTGTGTGTGTGTGTGTGTGTGTGTGTGTGTGTGTGTGTGTGTCCTACATAACACACAGTCATAACTAGTGTACAATCTAACATACAGACAATACAGGCGCTTACGTTACTGAGAGAGAGAGTTATGTACCGCACAATCCTAAAGACAATAATTCTGTTTCCTTCGTAATCTTTGTATAGATCTCCCGGCAGCCGTAGGGAGGGAGGGAGAGAGGGAGGATGTGAGGGAAGGAAGGAGAGAGGGAGAGTTTAAATCAGGGAGGGAGGGAGGGAGGTGAACTCGACTCCCTCCCTCCATCACTCACAAGTATACATGAAGGCTTGGACGACCCCGGCACCCCCGCCTGGCACTCCAGAGATTACCAGCTTCCGGCACTCCGTCCACCAGGGAGGTCTTGTGGGGGGGGGGGCTTTATTTGTCCATGTGTAAGTTTCTCACGTTATTTGTCTGTCTGTATCTATCTATCTATCTATCTATCTATCGCAGTGCAGTGGGGTCATGGCTCTATATCAAGACTGGCGCGCGCGTGTGTGTGTGTGTGTGTGTGTGTGTGTGTGTGTGTGTGTGTGTGTGTGTGTGTGTAGTAAAGTAGAGGCGAGAAAGTGAAGAAGATTGTGTTGACGTTTCTGATGTGTGTGTGTGTGTGTGTGTGTGTGTGTGTGTGTGTGTGTGCGTGCGTGCGAGAAAGTCTATGTATGTATGTATGTATGCATGACCTGTGGTGTAATGCTCGCCTCGCAAGCAAGCGGACCTGGGTTCGATCCCCGGGCAGAGTGAGACTATGGGCAAGTTTCTTTACGCCATTTGCCTCTGTCTACCCAGCAGTAATTGATTTGCAGATCGTGTTCCGGGGTAAAGGTTAGCCAGTGCAGTTGGCGAGTTGTCCGGTCTTCTCGGACTATTCCTTGACACTGGGTCATGCAGCTCGTTAACTCAGGGTGTGGTTGTTGTGTTGGCGACAGCTTCTACACCTTAAACAGATTCACGCCTAGGTGGCTCTTGGGCCGGCCATCCTTGTTACACGAGGGGCAACCATTATGTATGTGTGTATGAATTATGTATGTATGTACGTATGTAACTCAATAGACCAAAGGACCTCCATAGAAGAAAGTGAGGAGAGGTGAGAGAAGGTGAGGAGAGGTGAGAGAAGGTGAGATGAGGTTATCACAGAAAGACGACGCCTCTCACTTTGTCTCCCCCCCCCTCCCTCCCTACGATGGGAATGAGGGAAGACAAGGGAGAGGGAGAGGGGGTGGTGGAGAAGGGGAGTGAAAGGAATAAGGATAAATATAAATTAGACAGACAGACAGACAGACATGACGACACACACGATTATCGAACATTCCCGGAAACTGTTAAGAAATATGACAATTATTACACATATAAAAACATACATATATCCATCTATCACCTAATATTTTATTCTGCACAGGTGTGTCCCCGTCATCACCTGCCCATAATTACTTACTCTTCTCCAGGTAAACCTTATGATACAACACACCTCTCACGATGACTCCACAGATCTGTTTATTTTGAGGTGGGTGTGGATGAATGTTAGTCCTCTATCTATCTATCTATCTATCTAGTCTTAATCTCTCTCTCTCTCTCTCTCTCTCTCTCTCTCTCTCTCTCTCTCTCCATTGATCATTCCCTCCTCCCTCCCACACCTCTCCCAGCACCAAAACACACTCATCACCTGCTTCCCTTCCCTACCTCCCTCCTCTCCGACCCTCTCATCCATCAACCCACTCATGAGAGGGGCGGGGCGAGAGTTTAATAAAGTAGAGAGAGAGAGAGAGAGGAAAGTTGGCAACCTCTCCCTAGGCACTAACCACTCTCTCACCTGTCTGTTGTTAAGACCGATCTGTTTACCTGTTGCCTTCCGTTTACCTGTCTAGCTGCCCATAACGGGGTGGAGCGGGTGGGGGGGAAGCAGCGAAGACTTTAATGTTTTAGTATAATTATAGACATTAATAACTGCAACAGATGTGACGATGAGATTAATGGTGAGATTGATGGTTTCTGTACCCAAGAGAGAGAGAGAGAGAGTGAAGGAGGAGGTAGGGAAACTGGGGAAGGAGAGGGAGGGGAGAGATGGTCAAGTGATGCAGGCTGGGGGGGTCAGGAAAGGGGGGGCTGGGGGGGTCAGGAAAGGGCTGGGGGGGTCAGGAAAGGGGGGCTAAGGGGGAAGTAGTGTGATGGCGTGATTGATTAGTTCTAATTTTGCCACGTACAGAGGCTAGTTTACTGTGCACCCTATACTCCTCCTGTGAACGGTAGCGCGAAAGGATTACAGAGTAGAGGTCCCCGAAGGGTGTGTATAGCAGTCCCCAGTGGTCAGGATATTATGACTTTGAATGTTACAGAGTATTTCAACTTCATTCTTTGTTTAGTTCTATACATAAAGGGTAACTCATTCACAACTGCGTGAGTACAGGCGTGTGAGGCAGTGTGTCTGGCCGCACACTTTGTTATTCACATTTGCGTGAGAAGTATTCAAGCTCATTGTGTGTTTGGTTCTATGCATGGGAACTGATATAGCTACTTAGTGCAAAAAAGTTGATGCAATCTTAATATGTCGGCTATCATGCCATTAGTGATGATATGTGTCATGATAGGGTGTATCCTACAACTCATTCATATGTATGTATGTATGTATGTATGTATGTATGTATGTATGTATGTATGTATGTATGTATGCATGTATGTATGTATGTATGCATGTATGTGTACGCATGTGGTGTGTGTGCTTAAAGATTACCAAACACGTCCAAAGATTAGTAAATAAAGAAAGTTTCAAGATAAGTAAAAAAAAAAAATCGTTCCAAAGGTAAAAAAAAATAAGGTATCATACAGCTGTGAATGACCACCCCCCCCAAACTTTATTACAGATTGTGTTAAGGATCTCGAGGCGATCATTAGCATCCAGTAAAGACATCTCTAATTAGCTCTCTCTCTCTCTCTCTCTCACATAGAGATTCATGTAAGCTGATGAATATTTAGGAATTTATAGGCAGAAAAAAATAGTGTGTGTGTGTGTGTGTGTGTGTGTGTGTGTGTGTGTGTGTCAGCTGATGC